AAAAAAAATTTATAATTAACACATGGTTTTGCTTACAGCAATTTATACTCACCTCCTCCATTAGTCGCATTATTACCGTTCGGTGCAATTCCTGCCGTCATATTTGCTGGTATGGTTGATGGTCCGGTTAACGGGCTCCTCTCATTATTTGACTGGTTAATRAGAATTGTACAATTACGGCAAATTACTGTAAAATAAAATATAAAAAAATTACACAAAAAACTGTGCTTCAATAAATATTCACAGTATTTCTCATCCTCTTCGGAATCAGATTCTTCGCCATAATCGAAGTACTCATAAAGTCCATACAGCAGATAATCTAAAAAGCCGCGTTTCTATAATCATAAGAACATCACCAAAATCAAATTATTAATTTTTAACGATATGTTCACTCACGGTCCTCTCCAATTTGCCATCAGCGATCGCGGCGATATTTGAAATTTTGATTCTATCCTTCAACGCATCATCAAGCTTTGACACTGCTTCTGCCCGTTTCCCCATTACGGCGCCAGTGCAAATCAGCAGGAATATAATTTTATAAAATCCACACATTATGCGCACAATTCCACACCCAGACTTCACTTAACAACTGTGGGTATTGCAATGGCTATGAAGCGTGTGAGCAGTTGCTATGATACGAGTACTTAGGCATTGGGCTGCGACAACTCCAAAGCTTATATAGGAATTTTGAATATCGGAATCTACATTTTTTGTCAACATTAACATTTGAAAATGTGTAGTTTAGACTAAATTTTCATGCTGCACATGTATGTATGTRTGTAAGTCTGTGCGAATGTTCACAGAAATGGGTTTTGGGTTTTATTGCTTTAGGTTGATAATTTATGTCGTTAAATAAATATGTTTCTATGTGTCTATGCAAGTAGGTTTTTAGGTATGTTGCAATATATTGCCGTAAGTTGCAAGCAATGTTCGCTTGTCGTAGTTGTTGTTACACTAACCAAGTGTTTTAATGCGCTAGTATTTAGTGGAACTGTTGAAAAAGTTTCGTTTTGTTTTTAGCAAATTCTAACAGAACAAAAGGGCGTTAAAGCAATGTCTCAATGTTGCATTTATATTTATATGTAAATATGTAAGTATATGTGTGTGCGTTCAACTGACTGCAATGCTATTATTTATGCAGCTGCACGCACAAAAGTAGGCACAGTGACATTGATCGCATTAAAATTATGCATAAAAATTAAAACGCCATCTCCAAATTCAAATGTCTCCCATCTTAACAATAGCGAGGTCGCTATATTTATAAAATAATATTGCAAAAATTAAAAATTAAGACCGAAAGTGATGCGATTTTTATATCAACCAAATATGGTCATTGAATGCAATATCCGTTTTGTACAATTTTAGTAATGTAATGCCAATTTATTTAGACGATTACCACAAATACATTTATACACTCGTGGCCACGCAAACCTTACCATTCAAAATTTTCAAGTATTGTGCATATTTGACTACACTTTATTGCAATATAGAAATTTTTTATTTAGAAATAATGTTATTAATCAAAAATATTAAAAATTAAAAACAAAACACATTCAACTTTAGATAAATCAATTGAAAAATGTAAGAGACTGACATGCGATGAAAAAATTATAATTTTTATTTTTTTAATTTAATTTCATTTACACTATAATTGAAATTAATATTTTGTTTTATTCTTTTTTAATTAAATCACGAAGTTTAGTCGGTGTATCACTTTAACAACAATAAAATGGGTTACCTTTGTAAAAGCACAGAAGTGCTAATTTGTGTTTTACTCATTAAACGTAATAAATTAAGAACTATAATAATAATTAGATAATATAATTTACTATGTTTACTGACCGAACATTTTACACTCTCGCATGATAAAGTGATAMTCGAGATTTCAGGCGACTCAACATAACCTTTGTATGGAAGGTGGGCGTGGTTATTATCCGATTTCTTCCATTTTTGAACTGTATATGGAAATGCCTAAAAAAAACGACTCTATACAGTTTGATTGAGTAGTAGGGGGCGGGGCCACGCCCACTTTTCCAAAAAAAATTACGTCCAAATATGCCCCCCGCTAATGTGATTCTCTGTGCCAAATTTCATTTTAATATCTTTATTTGTGGCTTAGTTATGACACTTTATAAGTTTTCGGTTTTCGCATTTTGTGGGCGTGGCAGTGGGTCGATTTTGCCCATCTTCGAACTTAACCTTCATAGGGAGCCTAGAAATACGTRYACCAAGTTTCATCATGATATCTCAATTTTTACTCAAGTTACAACTTGCACGGACGGACGGACGGAGGGACAGACAGACATCCGGATTTCAACTCTACTCGTCACCCTGATCACTTTGGTATATATAACCCTATATATGACTCTCGTAGTTTTAGGACTTACAAACAACCGTTATGTGAACAAAACTATAATACTCTCTTTAGCAACTTTGTTGCGAGAGTATAAAARHAAAACTGAAAAAATCACGTACAAACGAAAAAGTCCGCAAAAATTTTAAGAAAGTATGCTACCAATTCTTTTTCTTCATATTCTTTATTGGCGTAAACAACGTTTATCGTAAACTAGCTCCTGTTGGCAAAAGTTATCCTGCGTTGGATTTCCAGGCTGCCATTGTTGGTGGTGTTTAGGCTGGTTCCAAGGTAGAAGAAATTATCACAATTTCGCATTTTTGACTGTCAACAGTGTTGTGGGAGCCAAGTCGCGAGTGCGACGACTGTTTGCTTGATGAGCCAGATAATTCGATTTGCCCTCATTCACCATTAAACCCATTCTCTTCGCTTCTTTGTCCACCCTGGAGAAAGCATAACTAACGGCGCGCGGTTGTTATGATGAATGTGAAAGGCGTTCGCTAGCAGTTATACTTTCTTGTAGAACATTGTACCTTCTCTATTCAGATCTGCAGTTMTAATAATTTTCTCCAAAGGTAGAAAGTTTGGTACCGAACGGCTGGAAGAGGTCCTTCGCGATCCTAACGGAACTTTTGATATTGCTCAAATTTCTTTATACAGCTTTGAAATMGATGAAGCGGTGGTGTGTGYCCTMTTTTCACGWTTCTTTTCCAAKATTTTGGTCGTGTTGAATAAATRGTCAGTTGTTGATTTTCCATGCCTGAAAATACGCTGATAAGGTCCAATGGTTATTTATTGCTTATTAGTGCTTTTAATTCACAACAAAATTATACTTAAATCTGAACCAAAATTTCAATGTTTTCTAGCTGCATAATTAAGGAAAAAAGCTCTTAATTTTAGCTCAGATCTCTAAAAGATGTCTAACTGACAGCTTATTCTGGCTGCAATGAAAAAGAATCCTATTTATATCCTTCAAGCGTTATTGAACATATATTTAGAAAAACTTTCTATAGAAACAGAAATTAAACAGAATTTTGGATACTGGATATTCTTCCCTTTTTMAAGAAGATAGGAGGAACTCATGTCTGAAAGAAGAAAAAGTTGAATCTACTTACATAACTCMTTTAAATAGGTAATTTTACAGAAGCTTTTCGCAAATGAAAGCAGAAGCCGAAAAATTCATGGTTTTCGAAAAAGAATAAACATTAATAGAGCAGCAAGTAAATTTAGTAAATATATAATACTATTTATTATTTTATTAAAAGCACACTGTCATTTGTGAAAACATAAAAATATTTTCGAATAACCGAGGACTGTGGAGCTGAAAATAAAACATTTACGATTATAACATCAATTGGAAAACCAATTMACATCTATCAATTATTGCAAATCAACACACTGTTCGCTTCAGTTATCAATGAACATTCGGAGGCATGTACAAAAACTACTATATTTTATAATCAAATTTGGTAGAAATATTTAAACTGCAATAACTAATTTTTCTAATAAAGTTTTACAATAAATAACAAGCCAATACCAAAGAATATCAACTCTTAATTGATTATGCTTTTAAAATATTGACMTTTCGAAAAGCAGTATTATGTGACCTTGATCATTTTTCAAAAAATATCACCACTAATACTCGTAAAACTAAAATGTATGTAAATTGCCTACGTCTCTTTAATTGCCCACGTCTCTACACATATACAAATATGAATATGTCTATACTTGTTTACACACGTTCAAAAGTGCAACATCAATTGTGCAAATAGATCGGCTAATCCAGAACAGTGGCACATGAATTGGCTATTTTCACATTAGTCACGGTTCATAGCCAACTATTGTGGTCATTACAGTATTGATGAATACAGTAGCACAAACAATCGCCCGTCACTCGTAAAAGTCACAATCAATAGCAACGACATCCGGGCATATGTGTATATATCTGTGTGTATGTTATGCACAATTGGGTGTAATAATGTTTTGTATTTACTCGCACTTAACTTTATTCAGTGTTTTCGTTTTTGTGTAACTTGAGCTCCTTCCAGCGTATTACAACTTTAATTGTTTGCCAACTCACTTTCAATATGAGAAGTTTTGTACTTTGCGCTTTAACCATTGTGTTCATAGKGCAACAAGTGTTCATCTTGAGACCAGAGATTTTAGTTTTCTCGGGAATCGCTTCAGCTGCAGCACACAGCACTTGCATGTAAATACATATAAGAAAGCTTGAGATATGAAAATTTTRCTCAGGTGAATTTTATACTAATTTTCATAAATAGCAATATCAKGTTAATATTAAGCTAATTACCATAAATAAAGTACTCAAGATAGGTTATATGGCTTATCAAAGATCGCACGTGGACTACTATATGTAGTCCTTTATGTGATCATAGAAAAGAAARACTCTTGTTTTCGAACTTATAAAYTAGAAGAACCCTTAGTAACCACAACAAATTTCAAAAGGCTTTTAATTTCCATTCTCGAGAGCTCGGTGGGATGTCTAGGGGTATGCGCTCCCAAGTATTTACGTATTGACYCCTCAAACGTGGGWCAGTCAAGAAGTAAGTGTAAAGTTATTTCCAACTTAACTTCTTCCATACATGTTTTGCAGATAGCRTCTGGTAGGACTCCCAGCCTTACTGCGTGGACGAGATTAAGGCAATGGACCATTAAAAGCCCCAGACCTAGGAGGAGGCTAGACTTACTGAAGCCAAAGAGATCTCTTGCGATCAAATGGCCCATGCKCAGGTCAAGCTTCCACGAAACCTCAGCTATTTAGTAGTAGAATAAGAAGAATACAATAGCACCGGCGCTCTCCCATTCTACCGACAGCAATGCAGCTAAGGTGCCTTTCCTTGCTAGCTCATCAGTTTTACAGTTTTCTGGGATTCCGTTGTGGCCTAGAACCCATACCAGTCTTAACACAGAGACAGTCGATGCCGAGTTGCAATTCATAGCGAGGTTATTCACAGTTAATGAGTTCAAGGCTAGAATCCTGGCTCTGCTATCTGAATGCAATTAACACAAAAATATTGCCCACAATCCATCCATGTTGTGTCAGTATTTAGGCATCGTGCCTCTCAAAAGAACTGCGACTGTCAACATTTCAGCCGACTCGGAGATCTGGTTTTGTTTTGACCGAGTGTGGAAACTTRTATGTTTGCGAATTTTAAACAGTCGTGAAATGAAAAACAGTAAAATTAAAGATTGTTTGGATGATGTTTATCGTGACTCTTCTTCCTCAAGTTTTAACGTCGTTGCTCGTCGGTTTTTGATAAACCATAAATAGGTTTCACATAAGACCAGCACAGAGGATAATRGACAAAAGTCTACGATCTCAAGTTAGCTGACGGAAGGTGCGCGAGATATCTGAATACTCCTAAAATACCRCGAGGGTATACGAGCTCCATCATCGAGGGTACAGGAGCTTGATGGTTGAAATGTATGCTCACTCCGGAAAACGAACATTGTCGTTAGATAACTTCACAACACTCAGACTCAATTCAAAGGACTTTATGAGTCGTTTCGTCAAATTCAAAGAATTGCATATCCACCAGAGCCAATGGGCAGTGCAAACAACTCGATGCGATCTTGATGTCGATTACTTAAGGAAGCGTAAAACGATCAAGATGGCTGTACCATGACGAGTTATTTCTCTTAGTCGATGAGGAATTGCAGAAAAACGCCCCAATTTCACATTGTGAACATGGGTATTTCAAGTTCATACCGCGACRGCCCAGAAATTTGGTAGTAGCGGGCTACAAATGGCTTTCCTATCCACCGTATTCTTCAGGTTTGACTAACTGACTGCAAGGCACTTATGTATTTATGAGTAAAAATRGCGCTTCTTGCCAACGCTTCCGGTTTCGCAATGACCATAGCATTTTTAAAATTACACTTGCATTTTTTCAATTAGGCAGTATTCTTCAGATTTGGGTCCGTGTTTGTTTTTTTTTTTTTTTTTTTGTTTCTTTTTTTTTTTTTTTTTTTGTTTTTTTTTTTTTTTTTTTTTTTGTTTCCACGTCTCTTGCAGGACAGGCATTTTAGTCGAATGATGAACTTAGTAACTTGAGTTATCGGAAGGTACAGAGCTTACATACCGACATAAAAGATCGTGTACACAAATTTAAAAAAAAATTAAATATTGCTGACATTAATTGCTTAGTTTTTGTTAGTTATAACTAAATTCACATCATAAGAAAATATTATTATAGACATACATATATAATTATAAGTCCCTGCATTCCTGATCAATATACTATAAATACTTTTAAAGTTATTTTTCTKAGGCATCATTCTGAAAGCAAGCACACTCACTTTTAAACTTGCTTTCCATATCAAACGTTACATATTCATACACTCATGTGAGTATGTACATATGTATGTGCATGGTGCTAACTTATTCAACGTACTCTATACTATGTGCGTCTTTTCTGCTGAGCAAAAAATTAAGTGCTGCAAGTAGAAAAGGAAAATAAATTTCTAATACGAAGAAAAAAGTTTTCTGAACATCTGTTCGCTGCAGCTTACTACCAAGCCCCTATGTATGTAAGAATCTACACTCACAAATAGTGTGTTTTGAAGTGGCCAACAATACTTGAAAATGCAAACAAACATGCTCCACAAAAGCAACGCGTGCCTCCATGGCAAAGTCAATCTATTATCGGCCAATTTACACACATCCGCAATTCTCGGAACTAAGCCCTGCAAAACAACTGCCGCCTGCCGCCTGCCTTTCGAACAGAAGTCGAACTAATTATCCCACAACTGCAAAGCGGTGCAAATAACCATAAATGTATATTTCTAATGAACAACAACATGAACTATGAACAAGTAATCTAAATAAAAATAGAAAACAATACCACAGAACCGCCGCCTTATCCATCTGCATCACACACTTTCACTCGCTACTTCCCGATGCATATGTTTTCCTATATTTGTATGCATGTATGTACATATATAATAAGTACATTTGYTCGCAAAATACTTAAGAATTTTGTTTTCCTCTTTTTTGCCATTGCAGAAAATCAGTGCCCRCAATACGGCGAAGTGAATCAGCTTGGCGGCGTATTTGTGAACGGACGCCCACTGCCRAATGCGACGCGCATGCGCATTGTGGAGTTAGCACGCCTCGGCATACGACCCTGCGACATTTCCCGCCAGTTGCGTGTTAGTCATGGCTGTGTTTCCAAGATATTGGCGCGCTACCATGARACCGGCTCTATACTCCCCGGCGCTATAGGCGGCTCGAAACCACGCGTCACCACACCGAAAGTAGTRAACTACATACGCGAATTGAAGCAGCGCGATCCCGGTATTTTCGCTTGGGAAATTCGTGATCGTCTGTTGACTGAAGGCATCTGTGATAAGACGAATGTGCCGAGCGTTAGTTCCATATCGCGCATACTTCGCAATAAGCTTGGCGCTATTGGACATCATCATCACAACTCAGCGGTGGCGGCGGCAGCAGCCGCTAATGGCACAAATGCTTCATCACACCATCACACGCATCCGCATGCCCACCCGCACGGTCATCATCACGCATCAGCGCACAGCACTGGTGTCTCGACCGCAGTGGCGCATCATCAACATGCCGCCGCCGCCGCTGCAGTGCATGCGCATCCCCATCTCTACAATTCCATTTATCAGCCATACAGCGCGTACAGCATGAAAACGGCAGTTTCGTGTGGCAGCCCCTCGCCCCCTCAGCCCACACAAACCAGTCATCAGTTGCGCACCGYGGCGGCTGCAGCTGCTGCAGCGCATTGCTGGCCCTCATCTCACTCTGTGAGCGATATTTTGGCKCATCACCAAGCGGTGGCGTTGCGCGCCAGCTGTCAGGTGGGCAAYACAATGGGCGCGCTGCCCACAGGTCTGCCGATGACTGCTTCACCGGTGGGTGGTGCTATGGGCACGGGCGCGCAACAACTCATGGGCGCTGAAGATTGCGACGGCATGGCGAACAGCGCGGCGGCAGCTACACAAGTCGCTGTGGCAGCGGCTGCGGCGTCGCAGCAGCCCTACAACTACTATATGTATTTCCAAAACACTGGTATGCATCATCATCATCATGGTGGCATGATGGCGGCAGGTGCAACGGGGTTATGAGAATTGCATTATGGCGATGATAGAATAAGCAGGAAACASTTGTAGAAGAAACGTCTTTAGCAATGTAAAAATATGCTAGCTAGCTGATTAAAAGTAAATATATATGTATTAATCTATATATAATTAGAAGGAGATTAACAAATAAATCATCAATAAATTTTTATTTTAGCTTTTAGATTTTTATATAGTGTTTTTAATAATGTGGTTTTGTATAACGTACTTGTAATTATGCATATATGTAAGTGTATGGGTGCTATGTCAAACATAATTTAATTTATAAATTAAAGAACTTAAAACTGAAAATATCAAAAAACCCAGTAAACAGTTGGTTCCACGTTTATTTAACACTCCCACACCACAATTTTTAATCAAACTAAAATTTACGCCTAAAAGTATGCTACGTTCAGTTTCATTCATTTTGCAAGCTTTGCTGACATCTCCATATATAAATATATACTTCAAATGCAGCTCTTTAAATTTTTATATTGTTTATCAGTGTTTTGTTAATTTGTATTTAATTATTATGAAGATCGCTACCGAATATGAACACTTGAAGTACATTGGGAAAAAATCGTTCACTTGAAATATCTTTGTATGAAGTGTAATTATAATAAAAAAAGAAACAATAAAATAATAGTACATATTATATATGCATATTAAACTTACTCACACATACATACGCATGTTACTTTTGTTATATTTTAATTTATGTATACGACTATTTATTAAAGTATAAGAATAAATAGTTTTGCATATTTAAAATAAAAGTAATTTTTTATAGAAAATATTTTAAATCATATAATAAATGAGTATTCCAAATAAAATAAAAAACATAGAGATTAAATTAGTTCGAAATTTTCGTAAAATATTTTTTTATTTCAAAAATTTTAAAAATTTTCTTAAAAATATACACACTAAATATATTTTTTTGTTTCATATAGTGCCTTTTGTAAATTAATTAAGATTCTGAATTGTTTCATATGAATAACGGTACATGTAAATAAATATACGTATATACTGTATCTAGAAAAAAACATGCCATAATTGAATTAAGCAATTATAAAAATATTTATTTGAATACTCTAAGTTAAATTGAAAACCAGTGAAGTTTTAAGAAAATTTACTTTGGTTGTTTGCCACACATTTATAAAAACTATAATAAAAATTTCGCATATATTTTTTATTTTTCGAAAACTTAACCGCAGCATTTTAATTTAATTTCAATTTTTTTGTTAATATATTTTCATTTTTTTCCAAGAAATATTTTGCTGTAACAACAACAATAAAAACAAGAAAAATCGTTATCCTATTTATATATGTCATATAAGAACTTGTTGTTATTATAGCGACAGAATTCTGTCTAGTTGACAGTCATCATCATCATGGTGGCCACACTAGGCCGTATAAAAATGCGAGTCYTTTCCGGTTAGGTAGAGCTGACTGTTGTGGGGACGGTCATATATAACAACTTGCTTTTGATAGGTTCATTTGCAAGTCAACTATATCCTATAGTAGTCCGTTCTTAATAATTGCCTTGGYCCATGCCGAATTTCGTAAAGWWATYTCATCAACTAAACAATTTTTTCACACAAGGACATTATTTCGATCGTTCGTATAACAGGTATTCGATATAGCGATCCATTATTAACAATTCCGACAAATGCACGGTGTGTAAATTTTATATCGATAACTCAAAAATTGAGGAACTAGTTCGCGTTTATAGACTGATGTGCATGGCTAAATCGACTCAGCTCGTTGTGCAGATTATTTACAAATATAAACTTTATAGGGTATTCGACATTTTATTCTGAGTGGTATGTAAAACACCCTATACTGGGTAAAAAAAATATATTGGCTAATAAATAATAATCTTTCTTATATGAAAAATACAAAAAGTAATTTTTACTACAAAGTTGTTCTCAATACAAAAATTTTCCAAAATCAGTTAAATGTGAAAGTGAAGTATACTAATAACGGTTTTATTATAAATTATATGAAGTGTAAACTTAAACCCTGCACTTAGTATCAAATTGAAAGGTGAATTTTTAATTTATACTTCCAGTGTTTTTCGAAACGGTAAAATTTTTTTCTGTAAGTTGGTAATACTGTTAGTGACATCTAAGCTAAATTTCAYGTCAAACAATTCATTAGTATTTAAGAGACAAGTCGTTTTGTGGCTCTCTAAAAGTGAATCCTTCGATTTTTCTATGTGTGGAATTATTGAACAAAGAAGTGCGTAGTGCGCCATCTCATACTGCATTGGTTATTCGTGATCATTGCGCCACATTTTCAACTAATATCGTACCACAACTACCCCACTCGTATGATTTACCTTCGTGTAATTTCCGACTATGCAGCAAATTCACATAACCACTTCAAGGACACCGTTTTGCCTCAATTGAGGATATAAAAGCTGAATAGAAGAARTATCTGATGGCCATCACGACGGACGCCATGACGACTGGAAATTCACCTTTCAATTTGATCACAGTAGTATATATTTCTAGACATAGGTATCTAGATGCTCCATGTATTCGCTGCAGTTATTTGAAGTCCAGGCTTAAGATCCATATAATAATTGTTCGATCACAACTTTCATATTGTTCATTTTGGAGGKTTTGCTCTGAGACACTTTAGATAACAATGTGTCGACTCGAAAACCTCTAAATACCGAAACTAAAAATATTTTATGTTTACAAATTCGCAARGTATACAGTGACCAAAGGCGATCACGTCGGTCAAAATTTACACCAATAGCATACCACCTCATCCTTCGCATCCCTCACATAGTTGATGTAATTCAATCAATAAATGTTTGAGCAATTAAGAGATTGTTTCACGCAGCGAATAATTTAGCATTATGTCGATTGATTGCAGTACGCAGAGTCAATTGGGCATGTAGTTTGTTATGGTTGACTCCAGTATTTAATTTTAAGAAGAAGCTAAGATGCTTCTCGGCGTGACCCCACACAAAATATTAACTTCCTCAATTTTAATATGAAATTTTTCCTATTTTTTTAACCGATAAAAATGCTCACTTGAATAATGCGGTATAAATAAAATGAATATCTTAAAACTCATAATGGATATTGATGATGATAGATATATCTAAATTAAATAGGTGTTTAGGTGGTATATGGTCTTTTTTTCTARTCCGTAAATGAAATTAAAACATAAAAAATGTGTACTAATATTAAATTTTTCTTAAGAGTTTTACATTTCCGTACATTTACTTTAAAAAGGAAAACATTTGTTAAACAACTTCAACAAAGGTGACAAAATTCTCTAAGCCGACGAGGCTCCATTTATGTTATTTTATTTAAAATCGACTATAAAATACAACAGGGCAAGTATAGTAGCAACTCGATTGTCATAAAAATATAACAGTTCTAGACTTAAAAATTATTTGTTTTAAATACAACTGAATACATTTAAATTGGTACAACTAGAATTTAGGTATAAAATTTGCTCTTAAATAAAAATCCTAAAWCAGCTTATATAATAACATTAATCGCGAAAGTTATTCATTTCAAACAGTCTACTTAGTCAGTTTTTGAAATGCATTACTTTTCAACATAACAATCTTTATTCAAAATGAAAACAACCAAACATAAATTGGATCAGCTTTATGTGCAACATTCAGTGCCGGTACCTTGTTGCCTTATCCAACCAAAGCAGAAGTAACCGAAACCCAAGCCCAATATCATGGACAAGCACAGCCAATAATTGAAGTTCATGAAGACCAACATCAGCAGGTAGGAAATAATAATCTGTACYACATTAAGCAGCGATTGGATGATGTGGTGTATGGAAAAAAGATGATCACTATTAGTTTTAACTCGAATCTCTGGCAACGGAGTTGGCGCATGTGTGCAACCCGGAGGATGGGCAGCACGTCTCGGTTCAACCTCCAACCCCATACTTTCTGCCGCCTTTTGTGCTGCATACTTATGTAATTGTTGACGCCCGAATTTCAGTGCTTCGTAAAGAAACGCGATACAAAACCAAGCGACACAAGAGAGGCCAAACTCTGTCACAGTGCTGGCAACCCAACCGCGCCATAATATTCGCTCGCAATGACCACCGTGGAACTGAAATGAAAGTAAAAACCCGAAAATTTAATAATAACTAAATAAGAAAAGTTCACATAATATGTTTGTAAAATAATATTAAACTTAGGACTTGTATAACACACGCTAAGGCCAATCAGTTTCTGATTGTTGTTTGTACAGAGCTAAATAGAGAGAGTATAATATCTTCCAAAAGAGCTGCAGTCGTACACCGATGATATGTATATCAATATTCCCAACAACAGCGCCGTTAGTTTTGCTTTCTCCAGACTTGTTAAGGAAGCGAAGCGTATTGGTCTGATTGTKTCGAAATATCTCCTGTCATCAAACAAACAGTGTTCCATTCACGGCTTGGCTCGCACGTGACTGTTGACAGTCATAACTTTGAATTTGTAGATAATTTCGCCTTTCTTGGAACCAACAACAATAAAATCCTCTCCYGACGAACAAAGACCACACCACACCACCTTTGCGCATTGGCAACGGTGAGTACCGTAGTCGATGGAAATAGGAGATATGCGCTCGCTATTTCATCTTGTTCGGATGGAAGAGAATACTCCAGCTTTGATTTAGTACCCGCCGGTGGCAGCAGAGGAAGAGCAAGATCTCCACTCCGTTGGAGAGATTAGGTGGATAAGGACCTGGCTACACTTGATATCTCGAATTGCCGCCAAATAGCGAAAAAAGGAACTGACGCTGTTGTTGGTTCGGCTTTAATCGCGAGCGGGGTCTAAGCCGGTAAAGAAAAATAAGAAGTTTGAGACAGTATAATCGAGATATTTAGAGATGCTATTTGTCCCGACTGTTCGTCTCTCCTTCAAACAAATAAAAAATCCGTAGCAATCAACAATTCCTTGACATCCAAACTAGGCATAGGGAAAAACTGGGATCGTCCTTTGATATATGAGGGTTTGTTTAAARAACTCATAAACAATTGATCTTAAAATGTCACACAGTGATCGCACACATACTATTAAGATTATATATGTATAATGTCAAATTATCAAATTTTTAGAAAGTGGGCGTAGCTTTTATTGATAATTTGTGCTTATCTTATAAACTATTGATTAGCCTTAWCTTAGTCCCACTCAGTGAGAGATATGCA